CACTTCCTCTCATGTAACCTCTCGGTTTTGCTGTTGGACTCATTAAGTGTCGCTTACGTGCGACTTTACATTTCACCGGCCTTTTGATTGTGAAGCCCTCGAGAGCTCCTCCACAGCTGGATCCTGGTCTGAATTGATAATCATTGTTTTTGCGCCTGAGGTTGACGCGCTGCCGTTTTTCAGATTGATGATTCTTTGGATTAACGTTCAGCTCTGTGGCGCTCGCACAGTGCCAGCGGTCTTCTGAAAGCCGGTCGGTGTGTGCATGCAGAGGGGCCACAGTCACACGACTATTATGGTCTGTTGAGTGTCAGAGGCGCAGCATGGGGCTGCAGTAAGCCACTTTCAAGCAGTAAAGAGGGTTATTGAAGAACTTCTGTTGGCCTCTTTTACACTTCACGGTGTTGCCATCCCTGCTGAAGAGCTCTCTTAGCCCTACATGCTGTTCTGTTTGACGGCATCGGAAGAATAACTGACAGTCACCGAGACAACAAACCCCTGATATTACAAGTCGTACAAATGCTGCGGATAAAACATTTACTGCTGCAGTTTGCTGCTTGCGAACACCGACGGCTCTGGGACGTCGGCCTGCTGATGTATCGGGCAGCTTTGGTTTCAGAACTTCTTGCCAAGCCAGACATCTCTGAGCAGAGGACAGAGCAGGGCCTGTGTGGTTTTTCTGTGAGGTCTGCGGTGTTGAGTGTAAGGTCCCATTTAAACGAGTGACCCCCCCCCCCCCCCTTCAAGCAGCCAGACTCCTTACAAGCCCGGTCGAAACCGCTGCTCCGTTCCAAACTCACTTTGGAGGTTATAGCCCAGAGAACAAGTTTGGCAAACTCAAAGTGTGCAAAGGGCCGTTTCCCACAAATGCATGAAAGCTTTTTTCAGACAGTCCGAGATCTCTGCCCGGCCTGTCCTCAGGGCCTCGGCTCCGTCCGACACATCCAGAGGAATGCTGACGCTGCTATCTCTGGGTCAACAATCACAGCCGGAGCCCTGTTGTTTGTTTGTCAAAAGCTTTTTTTGTACTGCCCCCCTCATTTTGAGGTCTGGCTGACTGCTGATTAAGATATTGAAGTCTCACTTGGAGGAAATGAGTGTCAAGCAAACCTCCAAGTTCAAAGCTGAAGAAGTGGAAGGCTTTATATATTCTAAACACTGGGATTTAAAGAAAGCAACCCGGGGCTTTGTGGCCAATACAAGCTTTGATTCTTGAGAATGTCTCGTACGCTGTTTGACTCGACTCCGTCCCCAAACGACCCTCTCACAATCTCGCAATTTCGGTCATCAGATTTTGGAAAGAGTGAATGAAACCGGACTGACTGCGGCGATAAATCTTGAATGGAGTGGTGGTAAACCTTGACAATGTGCAGCTTGAGAAATCATGTTTTTAATCTGCTTTAATACCTTTTTAGATTTTTCTTCCTGTCATAACTCTTCTTCCTCGGTTCTGTTTCGGTCTGTGTAACGTAATTACGCTGCCATTTTGGCCTCAACTTGACAGTTTGAACCCTACTGGTGAACTAAAAGTTGAGCCCAATTAGTTTGAGAGAAGCAGAGCCTTTGAGTATAATGGGGACCAGGCATCGAGTAAGGTCCACTTCTTAAGTTTTTGTCCAGACAAACCAGTCACATCTTGATTGAAGAATACTTAATTTAGTTGGATAAAGGTCACAGCACGTGTCGGAACATATTAGTTTTCCTCACAGGATTAAAGGTGATATTTTCAGTCACACTGTCGGATGACGTCTCGCTGCTGCTCAGAGTTGGCGGAAGCCTCCTGGACCTGTCGCTGACCTTGGCCGTCTGTAGCGTCGCATTAATCAGCAGCTCCGGGGCCGATGTCCTCACTCTGATCTCTGCCATACCTGAGCGCAGCGCTGTGCTCATGTCCGAGCTGACTCGCGGTCCTGATTAGAAGACGGTGGGCGTCAGTGTGCCGGCCTCAGTCTTCTCCAATAGATCATCTTAATGAAGTCACTGTGCTGTGACGGGTGGCAGGTGATTAATACAGTCATTAAGCCTGCTGTATGAGGGTGTACCTCTGCCCGAGGTGCCCTTTGCTTGTTTAGAGATAAATCTCAGGACTAAGTGGATGGGGGACTGGCAGGGTGACAAGGCAGGATGGAGGTTCACACTGGATCTCAAATCAGTTCTCTGGGAAGAAGCCAGAGGAGAAGATCTAAAGCACATTGCCTTTTGTTGTGCAGACAAAGAATCAAACTGCGTTCAGATATTTGCAGCCCGGGGCTTTGGAATAGATGGCTGATTATTTTCCTCTCCAAAGAAAAGAGTTTCCAACCACAACAGAAAATCCCAGCAGAACGTGGTGCTCCGCTCCAGATGAAGCCTCTTTAATTCTTCCCGTGCAGAGTGACGGACAGGACCAGGATACGTGTTTCACTTGCTGCACTAAAGTAAACACTCTTGGTCCTGCAGTAAACAGGAAGCAGAGAGGATTCTGGGAGATCAGGGCTGCTTCTTTTGAGCTCACGCTCATCTTTCTAATCTCTTTGACTTGGCGTGTATCATCATCATCGTCATCGTCATCATCATCATCATCATCATCATCATCATCATCATCATCATCATCACAGAAATCCATGTTGATCAAGATATGTGTATCGACTGCATTTTACAGTATGAACCTAAATGATGGCTCGTTAGAGGGCCGATACTCATAGATGATTGTATATTGACTTTATTTCCAGGAGTAATAAGAGTTTTGTATATTAATCAATCAAAGTGCTGTGGTATAAAACGTGCGTCCGTCATGTGTAATCAGTTGCATTATGGCAGCATGCGCCAGCTAACCAAATGTGTAATGAAGATTGACAGTAGCCGACTTTACAATGACCCTTTTTGGAGAAAACCAGGCCAGATGTGTCACTGTAGACATTTCTTAGTTTAGCTGAAAGTGTTATTCCGATCTTTTTCTGCGTCACACTGCTGCAAAATCTTCCCATAAATATGAGATACACGTTCCATAACAATTGTTTTAAAATAACAATGTGTTCTTTCAGAATGTGCAGGACACACAAGAGGTCTGCACGCTGTCCGGCTCCAGATAAAGTGTATTTCTCACGTTCCAGTATTCAATGTATGTTCCGCACACTTGGTCAGAGTATGTCAACAAAGGAGAATAATCTGTTAAAATTGCCAAATCTGCAACGAGGAACACTGTGCTTTGTAGCTTCTGCCACAGTTTGACCTCATTCTGAGTACCTTTCAGTGTTGGACTCTTTGCAGTGATTAAATGTGACATTCCTCAAAACATTGAGAGTCAAAGCGTCTCTCATTCATCCCTCCACACCTTCACTGCTTGTTTCCACCGTCCAAGGTAAGAAATTGGCCAGAAAATTACACTGACTCATTTTTATGAATTCAGAGGCAAAAACATCCCTTATATGGTTACACACAGATCCCGATTCCCCCTCTCTTTTTTGTGGGGGAATAGAAGAAACGCACATCAATTTGGAATACTAGAGGGCAAAACGGGCTGCATGTCTATCCAAAATAAACTTTGAGATTCCCAATTCCACATTTCAGGCAAGTTTGTGCATAGCAGAGTGCTTAGTCACTGCACACTTCCCTTCGTGTCGACGCAGACAAACTGCTGTTTCCTTTCAGTTTTTAATCGCCAAAACCTCTACCCTCTTTTTCCCGCATAGGTCTTAATCTCGAAATGGTGCTCCGTCAAGTTGGCAACTGTAAACTGCTGCAGGAAGACGTTTCATGTTTCAGCACAAGCTGTGGAAATACAAAAACTCTCTGACATCAATTTGTGCTTATTGGAGGGTTTGTTCATGTTATTGTGTCCACCCCTGTGTGCATGCATGTTAGCGATGGAGAGAGAGAGGTGGTTAGCACTGAGGTGCATCAGGAGAAGGAGGGAAGCGCTCGTGTGTGAGTCAAAAAGAAAAGGCGCTGGTATTTCTCCCCCCCCCCCAGGACAACTGATAAACCGTTTGGCAGGAAAGGCCTCGCAAATGACTGCATTCCTTGTTAACCTTGTAAGGCTATTTTTGCTGCTAAAGGGCCTTTTGAGCGGGCACCTTTTGTTCTGCCCTGCAGCTTGAAACAGGAAAGACTGGTTTGCATTGTGACCGTCTGGGAGTTTGGCTCCGGTCTCTCGTCACGATCCAAACCAATCCATCCCAATGTTGAGCTCTTGTTTAGGCACTGAATCTCCACCGCTCCCGACAGATGAACCCCGTAACTCCGCTGCACAGTTGACTGCAAAAGTAATGCAAATAAGGTGCCGAAGCTGTGCACATATTTCACGATAAAGCTGAGATTACAAGGAGGGAGAGTTGGAGTGGTTTGCCAGGCAATGTGCAGAATATCTGTCTAGAATCTAATGATAGCCAACTCCCTGCTCGTCTGCTAAAGGGACGTTTGCTCTCTGTATGTTTGTAGATGTCTCTTATTGTGTTTTCAAGGGACATTCCAACACTCCAAAATCCCCTCTGACTGTCCCCAGGAGGTGAAAGGCCCCTCTGAGCCGTCTTCCTGCTGCCTGACTGGTCCATCTAGTGTTGGGTAGTGTTTGAGCTGCAGCTCCCTCGGGGATTCCTGGAAGTGAATGTGATCCTGTCTTAAGAGGATTAAGAGGAGACCCCGGCTGATGTTGAGCCAGAGGTCAACATCGCTGTTATGGTGGGAATGACCTCGCCCGTCAGTGTGTTAACATGCACCGAAGTGACCGAGTTACTGTTGACTCTCTGCAGAAAAATGGCAGGAATAGCAGTTTACAATGCATTCACCATACAAACAATCTTAACTTCAGTATACACTTAATATTCATGGCTTTGTCTCATTTCACAAACGGTTGCAGACAAACCACGGCATTTGTTTTGATGATTGAAATGTGTCAAAAGCTGGCCTTAATGTGCTTTCTCCCCATAACATGATTTCTTGTGTCTCTGTGGCTGTACTCCCCCCCCGCCCCCGAGGCTGATCTGATCTGATCTTTCAATCTCTTCCTCCTCTCCTCACAGAGCCTGGATGAGCTGGACGATGACGACGCTGGGGAGAAGGACAGGAAGGAGGAGGAGCTGGTGCAGGCCAACACTTTCCAGAACGAGGCCATGACAGCTGACCTCGCCATTGGCCACTTGATGGTAAGAAACAGCATGACAGGAGGACAGAGCTTACTACCTCTGGTGGTAACCATTGGTTGTATCTCCTCCACTTCAGAGAAGGTTTAATATCCACATAAGAGTTGATACAGAGGTCATTCATAGCCAAAATAAAGAAAGGCTTCCAGCATGCAAGAAGAGACTTGATGTCTGCAGCAGTGCCTCTCTACTCTACTCTGTGTTGTCTCCCATAGACTCGTGTGATATTCTGCTTCTCCACCACACTGCATTGTACAGATTGATACATCGGTGCTGCCAAACAGAGGCACTGTTGCTCAGGCAGACACCCGGAGAGCTCACGAGCTGAGTTTGTTTGAAAGGCTGCGGTGACACAAAACCCAAAGGTGTTTCGACATTTCATCATCACTGTGAAATCGGTTAAAAGCAATAAGAATCACCCTAAAATCCTGTTGAAGCTACTCGGGGAGACGGTTTCTCACAGGTCTGGGGCCTTTGGTTAAAGCTGGTTGAACATACAAAGCAGCTAATGTTCATGTGACTCTTTTCTTGTAACAAGATGAACGTTGGGATGAAGTTGATACAATTCTGTCTTTTAACGAGCAAAAATACCAAATATTCACAAGCTCCAGCTTCGGCAATATCTGAGGATTTGTTGCTTTCTCCAGTTTTGGAGTGTAGGATGGACAAAAGAAGCGACTCAAAGGTGTTACCTTGGGCAAACTAAATGAGTAATTGATAAAGCGAAATATCAATTGAAGTATAGATTGTGAAACACAGCAGTATGATTCACATCACACACCACACAGTGTTTCTCTGTGCAGCTCAAGTCCACGAGGTTAAAAGCCACATCCATCAGACTTCATCTGAAAGCCAGGGTTTGGGTCTGCTTTGTGTACGAAGTGTCTGCTTCTTAATGGTGTGAATCAGGTATGAGTGTTTTAATCTTAGCAAGCAACATTGAGACGGTCTGCTCTTCCTCCAGATCAGTCCAGGAGGCGTCGATAGAGCGAGGACACCAATCAGTCAGAGAACAAATGACACGCTCGTTATTTCAGTCTTTTATGATGTCGAGGATAGTGGTTCACATTCAGTCGTGCGGTGTTTGTCATTAAAACGTCAAATGCACGGAGGGATTTACAATATGAAACGGAGCACATGCAGGATATGAGAAGCTGCGTAATGACACCATCTGATTTACATGAAAAGTGCTATTTGAAAGAAATAAAATAAATAAATAACCGAATGGCTCCGCCACTGAGTGACAACTCTTGTAGGTGTAAGAGTTTCGTTCCAGAAGGATCGGCTGTTATGCATCAGCAGACTTATTTTGTTTTTGGAGCTGGACTTGTCTGAGGCTGTTTACGTGTGTATGAAATATGTACACAAACACCACACTAACAGGAAGATTGTGAGAGCACCTGCTGAGACGTAGCAAATAAGAAGCAGGAGGATTTGACTATTTAAACGAGGTAGACTACGCATAAACAAACAACAAGCCTTTCAGTATGTCCTGCAGCTTCTCTCCGTTCTTTCATATAAAGAGATTCCCATCATCTCAAACAGAACTTGACCATTCATGCGTGCTGAATCTATTCTTACTAAAGTTCACAGCATGAGGCCTAACGCAGACCAGATGTGGTGATGCAGAAACTAACCATTAGATGTCTCTCTGTCACTCGCATAACACTGGCATTCATATTCCGCTGTGCCAGCCTGCTCATGAAGAGCCGGAGGAATCCAGTGTGGTCGGTGGATTTACTGCAGAGCTGTCAGTAAGACATCTGTAAAGATGGACCATCCCCAAAAAAATGTGCCGCTCCTCTCGGCCCCCATTTATCAACGGGAGACAAGCAATTGCCATGTCGGGCCCGTTATGATATACAGCGTCCAGTCGGGCCTCGTAGCTGTTATCAAGATATCTGGACAGAAAGCTTTTTCTTCTTTTCATAAAAGAAGCTCAGCTCACTTCTGTTCAGAGCTGAATGGCTGTTAACGGTCTCCCGCAGGTCTCGGAGCATGTTGAAGACTTAATGGAAACTCCTGGATGTGAAATATTTTATGTTTGAATGTTTAATTTTCTTTTCCCATCTTTTTCTGGGGACCTGTGCTCCATTTAGATCTGCCTCTAGAGAGAGTGTGTGTGTGTGTGTGTGTGTGTGCACGGACACACAGCTCCCCTCCGTGTGACAGGACACGTGTATCCCATGTGTGCATGGTGAGAGAGGCCCTCTGCAGGCATGTGGTCCTTGTTATCAGGCCTTACCTCCCTCTGGTATGTCCTAAGTCCGACAAGAAAACCTGTTCCAGTGATCCAGCAGTCAGAACCATATGGAACATTCCTCGGGATCATCTGCATTTAATGCGGCTCCAGGTCCACAGCAGAGCCGTTATTCTGCCTCTCTCTCTTACATGGAAAACACACTTTGCAACAAGTCTAATTTGCATTTTCAATTAGCACCTTTCAGACCAGAGCGTCTTGTGTGAGCGGGAGGGAACCGTTCACTACCCATCACACGGCATTTCCAAACCAGGAGGTTCATTTCATCCCGTTGCCTGAAACAATATTTGACCACACTCACACTTCTGTTGATTCAAGAGTTGAAGGATTGCTGTTGTATAAGCCGACTGAACCGCACCAGTATTTATCTTTGACGGGACTTCTAGCTGCAGAAATAGTTTAGGTATAGCTGGTGAGAAACTGAAAAACATTTTCACAGCAAACCAGAGACACTGCAGCAGATCTAATCACACTTTATTCAGATATCACTTAAAACATAAAGAGAAGGTGCTGCTGTGCATTAAGCGGCCTGGATTTGTGTGCAAGTGAAGTTCATATAAGGACCCGAGAGAGAGATATAGGGAAAAATAAACCCTTTGACTGATACTCAATATAGCTGTATCGGTCAAAAGCAGGGCAAGAGGTGGTCATGACTGCCTGCAGCTGTTTACAGTGTTGTTCGCAGGTTAGCCCTGTTTTCATCCTCACACTTCGATTGATGTTGGCATTCTGGCATCTTGTTTCTTCAGCCGGCATCAAAGACCGAGATAGCTAGGTGAGCTTAGCATCTTAATTATAAAGGTGTGTGAGAGAACTGCAGAGCAAATCTGCTACAACAATAGAGCAGAGCTGCACAGTAGGTACACTGCTCGCCCATAATGATCATACAAACATGTACAGTACTTGCCAGTACTTGTCAATGACCTTATTTGAAGAGCATCTCTCTGTCTCTCACTGAACACCTCGTGTAAAATAGTGATCTTCATCAGCCTTGTACAGAGAGATGCTCTGAGCGCTGCTGTTAGGAAGCTGGATGGAACGGCAAATACCACCTTTTAATGGCATTCCTTTATGGATTTTTGCATTTAATGAGCTGTCGACTTAAATCAGAGTCAACATCGAGCCATAAATGTCCGTGCAAGACATTTGGATGCGTTATGACAAAGAAATGAAGCATTCTGCTGGAGTTCAAGTGATAAAGTACTCGTTTCATTGTTGATATTTGTTTCTGTATTCTCAGTAGCTCTGCAGTCGGGCTTATGGGAGCTGTCAGCGCAGCTCAAGCATGATAAATAAAGTTGCGCGGACTTGTGTTGTGTGCGGTGATGAAGTCGCACATGAGTTACGCTGACCTTGTCTCGCAGATTCATATCCCAGACACTGAAACACGGTGAAGCGCTGCGGTAGTAATGTGGCAAATGAAGTCTGTGATGTTTTCTGTAAACAATCATATGTTTCTACGTTCTCATGCTGAGATGCAGGGGATGAAACCCTTCTGCCAGAGCCTCGCGACGTCTGCTGACCGCCGTGGCCTTCCTTCACATTGTTGTTTTGACTCGTATTTAAACCCTTTTTCACCTCGGATGTTAATCAATCTGTTCCACTAACCTCCGTCAGTAGTTCAACGGACTTTGAATGTGAAATCTTACAGAACAGATGTATTAACGTTTCTTGGGAAACGTGAAACCAAACGATTGTTTCCTGCCTGGTCAGGAAGCTGACCGTGTTCCTGACCAGCAGAGTGGGTTTCCAGGTCAATTGTATATTCAAATCATCCTGTTGGTTTATTCAAGTTACTCTTGACTGTCGAGGCCCGAGAGCAAACACACATTTACATATAGACAGCATTTTGAGATCTGTATTGACTGGCGGCTCTGTTAGAGGTTTACAGCTGCTGTACGCATCACACCTCAACAAAGAATATACTGTCGTCCTCTTTTTCTGTCTCGTCTTTAGTCTTGATTTGGTTCCCCCTCATCTCTAATCATTTACTCTGGGAAGGAGGATGTGGTAGTGCTGAAACGCAGAAGTGGATCAACAGAAATCTTTGATTGCAACTCCTCAAATTGGACGAAACAAGCAATTTGAAGAACGCTGGGAAATTGCGACGGACATTTTTCACTATTTTCGGGCATTTAATAAACTAGTTAATTTCAAAATCATTAATCTTTAACCCCAGTATGCACAGTCCGGTTCTTTCTTTTTCTAACAAACCAACTCGGTACACATGAAGAGTAGCACCATCTGTCCGCCTTCCACTGTAGAAAAGTTTGAACGGTGTAATACAACAGCTGGATTTGAAAAAGTCAGCTGTTGGATTACACCAAATCCTAGAAAATGTCAGTTCCTAGAATAAATTTCATCAAAGCGCTCTTAAATCCAGGTGTTTCTTGTGTGCAGGTGATGTATTATTTAGTGTCTGACCTGCTGCTGCAGCAGGCCGCCCTCTCACTGTCCTCCATCTCAGTAAATCTATCCAGGCTTGAGCCCGAGAAGGGATGAGGGGTCGGGATTTCATCCGTGGGTAATGGATGATATGTCACCGAGACGGAGAGGCTGGTGCATGCTAAGAGTCGGGCACGGCGTGCCCCCCCCCCCCCCCACCACGCTAAAGCAACGTTGTGACTGATAGATTGCAGCCGAGCCAAGGCTCCTCAATCAAACCTGGGACCCTTCACTGCACAAGACCTTAGGAAGGAAGCGATGCGCATTCGTCTCTCACACCTCATTTTTGGAAGGAAAACGCTATTTTACCAAAGGCGGTTTTATTGGAGCATCACTGCCGTATAGATCTAAACAACCTTTAGATCATACAATAATGGGGAAAAAGACGATAAACAGGCACCTCCATGTTACAAAAAGCAGATTGCCTTTCTGCCTCTTGGGGCTACAGAGCTCCTGTTGAACTATTAAATGGAACAAAGCTCATCTATACATCAGCTCAGCAGCTGCGATTCACAAACGTTCATACACAACCTAAAGGCTTTTTATAAATGTTGCTCCTGATGAATTTCTCTTATCCTGTAGATGGTTTTGTGTTTCTTTTTTTGTGTCTTTTTTTGGTGAACCAACACCACCCAAGGCAGCCGAACACAAATGATACCTGAAAGCTCATTCTGCTATCTACTGCTTTTGTGAAATTGAGACTGAAGAAGCACTTCTCTCTAGAGTTTCTGGAGTTATTGTTTGTGGACTGAAGGCGATCCTTTCCTTTTTTTTGTTTCAGGAAACCCCCAGATCTGGGAGCGGCCGCCACAAGAGGTGAGACTCGTTTTATTACCCTGACACAGAGAGTGGAGTTTATCTGCTTCGGCATCGCTGGCAATGTGTCAAGAGAAGGGACGGAGGCCGGGATGAGAAACAGCAGTTTGAGTCATTCATTACCAGAGCAGATTCCCTCTGAAATGATCCCACGGCCTTTTTCTTGGTGCGTCACTGTTCTGTTTCTTGTTCTTTTGTCCCTCGATGCTGCTCTTTTCATGCTTTTATGGCTCAAGAAAGATGACTGTTGATGACACTTCGCTGCCGCTGCTGGCAGGGCGTGTTTAAAGCAAATCATTTGCTTTGAAACGCTTCTAAAATGTGTGGCTCATTTCGGTCGAGATTGCTTTGCAAGATTGCATTTGATGAGGGGCTTTCAAACTTTTTCTTTTCGAACAATGTTTGGGCCGACACCTCCTTCTGGGCAGATGATTTCTATATATTTTTTTCATACAATTTACAAAATTGTGGTAAAAACAACTGTTCTTTCATCTGCTTCCATTATATTACAATATTTATAAAATAATAGTCCCATTTTGTATTTCTGAATTGCAAACTCTTGAAGAAGAAAATGTACATATTAACCCGATGAATCATCACAAGTGCAGCCTGTGAGACACAGTCAACACGACGAGTGGTGGAGTCCTTTGAGAACATCTGTGTGTGTTCATTTTTGCTTTATTTGAAACCAAATTGCGAAGTCGTGGCCAACCCCAACAGCCAAGTTCACCAGCTGACATTCAATCTGGCCGTGTAATTATGGCCGCTGCTCTCATCGGCTGGCTCGGCTGCACTTGGACGCTCCGCCGCTCTGTGGCTGATAACCCGCCAGGTGGGCTGGGCAGCAACTTTATAGATGCGTGTCTCCCTCTAATTTACTCACTTTCTGTCAACCCTCCCCGCTCTGTCACTTCATCTTTTGTCTTTTTTTAGATTCAAGCCGTTCATCTGCTGCACAGTTTGGTCCTGCTCTCCACAAATACTCATTTCGTAATGTTGAAAAGTCCAGACCCACAATGTTCCATGTTATATGATGATATCAGATCAGATTCAAATATCTCGCAGTAACTATTATCTGGCTGTTGGACGGTTAAATGTGTCTGATTCTCTCATTAGTTTATGAAAATTAGTTATTGTGCGATATCAGAAAGAATTCATTCATTGATAAACATTTTTAAATGATTATGGCGTAATTTTTCTTGGATCCGTACCAAACAAAGATGTTTTATAAAAAATAAAATGTGACGTGTAGTCAGGGACATCTCTGCAGCAGACAATATTTAATTTAAAATGGTATTTTGACACACATTTCACCTTCATCAAATATTGCACCTCCTGTGTTTGGGAAATTGCAGTAATAATTGTGATTTCGATAACATTTGAGTAATTGTTCAGCCCTTTTAGTAATGCAGTTTCTTTGTCTAAAGCTCCCCCTACCTCTCAGATGAATACATGAAACTATGTAACCACAGTAGCTCACCTTGCATAGTTCAGGGGGCCTGGGAGATTGGAGTATGGGTCAATGAGGTATTGCTGATTACTTTAAAGGAGCAATATACAACATTCAGAGCATTAATAAAGGCTATTTTCTTTGTAAAGGTTTAGTGGAGTAATGTCTACCTGAGCAGAAAAATGAAGTTGCTCTATCTCTGTGTGTTTTTATCACAACATCTCCTCTTTTTGTTGTTGCTGAGAGCCGTTAAGAGGCAATCAAAATGCTCCCAATCTTGTATGTTGCATCAAGTACGAGCTCAAAAGCACTCTGAATGTCTCGGCGTTTTCTTGCTATTTGGGGGGGATGGCATGAATCATGGCGAGGCAGCGGGGTGTTAATCAGATGGTTGAGTACTGTGTGTTGTGGTTTCCAGTGTAGTTTTTGGCTCTTGACTTTGTGAGAGCCGTGGTTCTACCTGTGGCTGTTTGAAGGCTCTCCTGTCTCCTTCCCACCTGCTGAGGCCTCCCGAGAGCGCGTGATTGGCTCAGCCTCTCTCTCCCCCAGACCTCAGGGTGCTAATGGGCCACGGTGTGATATTTAGTATCAAGGCCATGGATGTTTAGGTTTAGCTTCAACACCTGCTGAGTCCACTTGTGTGTGTGTGTGTGTGTGTGTGTGTGTGTGTGTGTGTGTTGCAACCAGGGAGATGTCTATAGATGACATGCATGGATGTAGACAGACACAGGGCATGTCATCGTCTTGTGCTCGGCTCTTTTTCGGCCTCATGGTGAGGGGACGTGTTTGTTGTCACGCTTTGTAATGTATTCGCACAAGCGTATAGCATGCGTGCTCGTGCCAATAAAGGAAGAGTCGCCCTGAAGAGCTTACAATGAGAGGGATGAATGAAATGCACTTCATCTTGGCGTAGGCGGGTAACAAGGACTCTCCTCTCGATCAAAGGCGAGCTGTGCAGCATTTCTAAAAATCCACAATTCAGTGTTTTGTGGCAGCACTGGGCAAAGATGTCACACAATCTCCAGAGGACATAAGTTGTCTTTTATTTAAAGGTTCTCTATACGACTTTCAGAGCATTCGTGTTGCAGCAAAAAAAACTATTTGACTGTCAGAGTTAAAAGTACTTCGTAAAGGAGTCGAATAATGGAAACAGGATATTTGGCAGATCCTGAAAAGAGTGCAGATGGTTCAGAAGAGTTGTATTTGTCATTTGTCTTGCCAGCAGCTCTCCTCTGTTTCAGCTGTAGAAATATGCAGACAGCTCCTTCAGACAATCCAGTGAAGTCTACCGTCGTACTCACAATCATTTGATTCCCGGGGAAGATTTTGTAAACCTGCCACAATCTGTTCCTGCCGGGGAGCGGGAGTCGTTGTAGTCCGGGTGCAGAGCCAGCAACTCATTCCGAGTTTCCTCGTCGATAATTATTGAAATGAGTTCAGTGAGAAAATAAACAGCACATGACCGTTCTCCCCCAGAATCCGTCTCTAAGTAGCGAGAAGGTGACGAGGAGATGAGGTTAATGTTCTGCTCGAGCTGCATGCAGAACCCTTCTTATGTTCTCTCTCTCTCACCAGCTTAAGAACAGTGACGCACGTGTTTCCACGGCCATTCTTGAGCCTATTTGAAGTTGTAATATGTAAATTGTTTCTTAATCAGAATCCTTTTTGCACCAAAGTTGCAAAACCTTGACGTCCTTTTCTTCATTAATGGAATAAAAGGCGGCGGGGTTGTTAATAGTGCACGGCGAATTGAAAGAGCAAACACGCAGAAGATATTACCACCTGTGCTTTTGATGACGGATGTGTCATCCCATTGAAGTTTAATAATGTGGGTATGATTCATACCTTCAAGCAGCCTCGGTGTGGCTACAGTATTGGACACTTTGAATAGTGAAAGTTGCACAAAATGTACCATTTTTCCAGCCTTCTTTTTGCATGTGTAGAAAACGTAAGTGTTTGAGTTGTATTCTGTATTGTACTTGTGTGTGTGTGTGTCACAGCTCTGCAGGATCTGAGGAAGAGGTGGGCGGGAACAGCAGACAACGACACTACCGTCACAGCCGAGATGGAGGAGCTGCAGCACCGGGGAGTTTGGAGAAAAGGATGGAGGAGCTGGAGAAGGTGCATATTATTATATATATATTGGTCATATTACTGCTTGGTTACAGTCACTAGTAATACTAATCAATGCTCCACCAATAGAAACACAAGCCAAGTTAGTCCCACCCTCGAAACGGGACGTGAATCTTCAAGATTCAGCCGGTTTTCCCTCTTGTGTGTGTAACCAGATCTAAATCAACCCAAACCACCATGGAAATGTAACCTCATAGATTGATATGCTATCGTTGTTCAATCCTATAAACTTCTTCAGTGCTCCCTGAGTTACTCTTTTGGCCGGCTGAAAGCGTCTGTCAGCTGCACTTTGGTCAGATGAATTTGCACTTGGGAGTCCTTTTGAGTGGCCGCCTCTGTTCTGACTTTATGGCTGGAAACCTTCTGGCAGGAATCCTCCTCCGTGTTGTTGAAGCGATGACCTTTCTACAGTGCAGATATGTCTTTTCCTCCCACGCCATGCCGTTCCTATCAGACACTCAACCCTTCCCCGCTGCCACTGTAGAAACTCAACTCGGAATCAAATGTCACTTGTAGCTTTTCGGGAAAAAATGTTTTTAAAGTAAGTAGTGTTTTGACCTCAGTGACTTCAGCGTGAGGTGTTTCTCTCAGTTGAACGACTAGAAGCACTTACCAAATCCCATTTCACACACTTATTTTTGTGCACCGTTTCTACAGGCGGAGGTCTGTTCATATGAGATTTCTGGCAGGTACATCTCTGACTGTGAGCCTGCAACTGCAACAAGCCTCACAAGTACAGAGACGCACAGTTTGTTTGAGTTTAATAAATATATACGTATATGTATGTATGTATATATATATATATATATATATATATATGTGTATATATATATATATATATATATATATCTCACAGAAATACGTGTTCTACAAAGCCAAGTAGTGTCTAAACTCAGCTTTCAGTTTCAACTTGTGAGATGTTAGAACCTCTGTTTATAGAGTACAAAGACTCTCTCTCTTAGGAACAATATCCATTTATTTAGCTGTAGTTCTAAAGGAGGCGGACAGGAACACACTGGCTGTTAACCAAGAAACATTTGAAAGAAACACAAAACCACGATAAAGAAAGCAACTATTGACGCATTGTTCACTGACAATCTGTTATGTTGATTGTGACAGATTGCTGGTTTTGAAGAGTAGGTTGAAATCCGAAATTATATATTTCATTCAAACTGTCACGCCACAAAACTTTTTAAAACCGGATGCTTTTGGAAGTCAAATATTCTTTCGATAAAGAAGTCTAATGAAAGCTTAACGTGGCAACAGATTAATACACAGGCCTGAATATTCTCAAATGTTGACTGCAGCTGTTTGCAGTTGTAGGATTGGCACATCCAAGGCCTTCTAATGTCTTTCAGTAGTGAGGTTAAGGTTACTTAAGGAACTCCTTTCATCAGTCCCGTCCCAACCACAAAACGTCCTTCTTTTCAGGCAGCAATGCTTCAGTGCGATGTTGTTGGATCTGACATTTAGCATTAATTATAACTGAAGTAATTACAGTTTTTAGTCCCATAGCAATGTATTACTGCATCAAAGTGAATCCAAATGCCCTGCCCTGTGAAAACATGTATAATTCATGTAATCATGTTGCTTGCATGCTTGCTTGCGTGTGTGTGTGTGTGTGTGTGTGTGCGTGTGCGTGTGCGTGTGTGTGTGTGTGTGTGTTTTCAGGAGCTGGCCAGAGAGCGTCAGGAGAACGGCCGGTTGCTGAAATCCGACGAGGACAAAGACGACCTCATCGGGAAGCTGAGGGAGGAGATTGACTTGCTGAACAGAGTGAGTCCAGCCTACCTGATTTTCTACTCTGATGTCTGATATTTTGAGCGCTCCTTTGTGTTTCCATGCGCGGGTGGCTTCTGTGTGGGTTGTAAATCATCATAGCTGTGTGTTTTTCTACAATGATTTCCTTGCAGTCCATTAGGATTTGACCTATTTTTGGATGTACGTATGCACTTGTTACAAGATGACTGCAAATGTTTTAATCGGAGGCATTGTATTCGTAATCTGCATTTCAAAAACTCACCCGTGGTTTGATGACGTTTGAGCCTCAAAACTGGTGTTGCATGTCTTATTGATTTATCCACCAAAACGTGTTTGCTGCCTGGTGGATAAGAATTTCAGAAATGATTGTGTGACTCAAGCAAAGTGTATTTTTATTTTGTGACTTTTTGTCAGTGTAAGTCTGAGGGGGTTTTCACAGTGTGGACAGCTCTCTTTGTTGAATGAAGGATAAAAGAAAGAGATCAATAAGTGAGACTTTGTGAAGGAGCAGCTGGAAACACCAGTCTTCAACTTTTAACACCCGCTTTCTTTCTACTTTCTTTTGATTTAGAGTTTTGTTAAGAGTTCAAAAACCCTCCAATTAAATCTGTCAAAGTGAATTCTAACACTTCGCATTCAGTAAAGTCGAGCCACAAGCCAAACTAAATGATCACCAAATTACAACCTTGTCATCTTCAACCAATCACTGCGGATTCGTCACTCTGCCTCTGGTGTAGGAAATAGATTGCAATCAAACAAATGTCTTTCACAGCTGCCTGCCATCCGTCGTTTGTATCTGAAATTTTATCGGGTTCGTCCTACGACGTCTTGGTAATAGTATACGCTTGCACTTTCTGCAGGTTTTGGGCTTGAGGACTTATTGCTATGACTACAGCTCGGGTTGAATTTTAGATTCAATGAACTGAAAATCCAGTTTACTCCCGTGGTCTCCCGAGTTAAAGTCCAATGTTCTCTTGACTCATCCTCCACCTCCCGCCTAACAATGTCACCTGACTTCCTGCTCTGCTCCTGTCATATATAATTTGGTCGCTAGAATCCATGGTTATGTGAACACATGTTGAGGCACCAGCTGAAACGACTGATGCCGCCATTGTTCTCGGGAGGACAGTCTCAATCTATTTACATACAACAGGGCCCCGGTGAGACTCAAACCGGTTTCATGCTTCTTACATTACTCATCTCATGTTACGCTATTGCGTCCTGGGCTCTGCGCCGAGGGTCGGAGCGCTGAGCATGAAAACAGGGTTTTTTTTATTAGTTGTGGCTCTTCTTAAAAGTCTCTCTGAAGAAGAGAACTCCAAGTCCTCCTTCAGGAGAATCACTTCCGAAAATGCAGCCTCACGTTCTGATTGATGTCAGAAGTACTTCTGAGAGTTCTTGCATCGATCACAGAGACTTTCATGTCTCAAATGTTCAGAGAAAAAGAGATCTCAGCTCTGCCCTTGCGGAGCCAATCAAATCCAAACACTAGCTCAAGCGCGACACCAGTCAGCGATGTGTACATGTTCAGCCACTAGCCGAACGAATGTTGCTTATTCTCTTGACACACATTACACAACCCATCTAAAAACACTGAGGGGCAAATTCTTCAAAGGATGGTGTGGTTTGTGAGGCCGCTACACCCTTAACTGTGCTGCGTCGCGGTGCTCCAGGGCTATTTAAATAAGGTAATATGCATACATTTGGTGCAAAATTGGCCCTTCTGTATGCAAATGAGCCTCATTGCAAAAACTGTCCCATTTCACAGGTCATCAGCGCTAATATTTGCAAAAATGATGCGTCTTCTGAGAATTGGTGGTAACTGAACTGCGACTTTCTCGTGAACATGGCAGCATTGAATGTTATTTTTTCTTTAAATCATGCCATCTTCTTACACAGTATAAATTCCTTGCCTGAAGTTTTGAGGAATGCCTCTGCACCTCGTCGGTCAGGACCTGTAACTCACTGTCTGAACATTATATTTGTACTTTTCTCCCTGCCATTCTGCCTACTGTGTTCTTGGCGCAAAGGCAACTTTCATACTTTGCCGGGATAACTGCAATGAGACGCAACAAAAAAAAAATGGCAAAGGAGGTTGCAGTTCATGGTGCCATTAGCGTCGGCCGTCCATTCTTTGTGATTTCCCCCCTCAGAGTGCAATATTGCAGAAGGCTTCAGGCCGATGGCATCACATGGACAGGAAGCTGGTCGTAAGGACGGTCAACTTGGTGATAGCCATCAGAAATGTCCCCGAGAGAGGCTCCCGCAAGGCCTGATGGGAAAGCAGGAGATAACTGCTGAACCAGTCTGCCGTCACTGCGCAGAGGAAGATTGAACCCTCAGTGAGCGTGGAAGTTTATTTGGGAGAGAAAGAAAAGATTAAGCTCGGGCTGCTGAACTTTTATCTCCCTCTTGATTTACGCTTTGAAGAGAGAAATCCATGAAGCCGAGGGGAGCAGCAACTTCAGCTGTTAATTCTCTGTAGCTTCATCGCTACGAACCACCTCTTTCTTACCCTCACATTGTTTTTACAGAAGTATTGATTGTAGCCGCTTTTAAAGGTGCTTCATTTGAAATCCAGTGCAATAATAAAGCGGCAAACAACTATTTGCAAAGTAAAGATATAGTGGAGTAATATCCACCTGAGCCGGGAATGAATGCATTCATACAGCGCTTCATGCTGTTAGCGCCGTTAGCTAAACCGTCTCCATTTTGAGAGCCGTGTCAAGGCAATAGATCTGCTCCCAAGTCTGTATAGAGCACCTTTAAACACGAGCGGTTGGTCTTTCTATCGCTCTTCTTCTGCAGCGGAGACGAGGTGCTCTGTAGAAACTCGTGACCTCCTTAGTTTGACTCTCTTCCAATAACCTCTCAGTGCAGTTGAGCTCATTCTCTGCAGCCATGCGATCACGAAAAAAGCGAAAACGAGGAGTGTCACTTTGATGAGACGGCGCTGTGGCAACTGAGGGCCTTTCTCATTTGCGACTAATTGGAGCTGTTAATGTCTAATTTGTTGCTCTCAAGGCAGCCTGGCTGGAGGGGTGGGGGTGCTTCCTTTAACTCTCAGACTAAGACTCCAGCTTGACTGGGTACTCAAAGGTATAGCAGCAGGGTTGTGAGTACTCATGTGTGCTAATGTGTCCAGAAGGTTCTAACCCCGGAGCTGTCTGTTTTTGCCCCAGGACCTGGACGACATTGAGGATGAGAATGAGCAACTCAAACAGGAGAACAAGACTCTGCTGAAAGTGGTGGGTCAGCTGACGAGGTAGAACGGCGCAGCCTCCTCCCCCGATGTTCCTCCTCGACATCCCGCCCCGGCTCACGTCCACCATCACGGCCTTCAATGCGTTTGGTTCTGTCTCTTCCTGTGTTAGAGGTGAAACTGTAAACTAGTCGTTCAGAGCCTCACGGCCTTTAATACATTCCCACGAGGAGGATTTATTCCATGTGTTGTGAAAGCTGAGCGGTCTAGGGGCCGACAGTCTCTCGGGGACTGTCTGTCATCGTACATATTTAATGTAAATCTATTGTGTATATAGGCCATTTAGATTTTTTGGGGGGTCGGGATTTTTTGATATGGTCTGATAAAGTAATAAAGTAAAATGAATATATGTGCTGCACAAACAATCGCACACAAAGTATTTTAAAACTTGTTTAGAGGTTTAAAGCCTCCGTGCACACAGCAGTCACCCAGGTCAATTTAAAACGATCTCCAGTGTTGCGATGTTTGAATTGTGTCCGAGTGCAGTGAATCAGTGAGTCATCGGAGAACTTGAAGCTTCTGTCGACGACCTCTTGGACCAAATGCAACATGAATACTGCGACGGTACCATCAGCCAAAGTGGGCGTAGTGCCTTCAAAACATGTGAGGTATTCTTCTAAAAGGAAAACTAGTTATCGCCTCTCATCCCTCTGATCACTTCCTGTTTTAATCCAATCCCAGTGGGGCATCTACACACCTGTAGTTTGAATATTTCAAATTTAAACGAGACTTTATGTGAATTATCTGCTTTGCGCATTTCAATGTTAACATCTAAGTATTATACTTGTCATTAGGGTGAAACACTTTCCTAGTATATATATATATATATATATATATATATGGAATTTAAAGCTCTCTGTAATTCGTTTACAAGTTGATGTTTTTGCAATACTCGATAGATGTTTAGCTGCTCTGTTTATGGCATCTAAGCTGTGTGGAGTGAGCTACAGTGCATACAACCAAATGAACTGAAGGAACATACTATTTGAAATGCATCTCTTTTGTTGACTCAAGGGAACAGGCTTGGCTGGTAGTGGCGTTTCTACTTTCTGTATTTTGATCATTTCTCTCCACTGAGGAGCTCCTGCACTGTGGCAGCGTCCTCTGTAGGTCGTAGTCGGTCGATAGATAACTCTGCTGCCACGTACACTCGCACGTTTCGGGGGTGAAGATCATCCACAGACAGACATCACACGCCCATCTCTCTCTCTCTCTCTCTCTCTCTTTCTTTCCATGACATTATGCATGTACAGAAGATTAAGTCATTTAATAAAAGTTTGATTATCTCTCTCCTCAGTCGACTCGCTTGTGTTCATTAAGACTAATTTGATGTGATGATACCATGCCACTGAGTCGGTAATGCAATGTGACGGTGGCGGGGGGTTCAGTTCCTCCGCCTAGCTCTCAAAACACACACACACACACACACACACATTCATGATGATTCAACGTGCCAATCACCAACCTGATTGCATAGAGGCCACCATCCTAGGACGAGAAACCTCCATCCACTGAACGCTATTGAAGCGCATTAATTCCCTCACCTTGTGGGAGAGAAGTGGAAGGAGGCGTATCGGGACTAATGTCGTCTAAATCTCCAGATAATGGCCTCTTTCAGCTGCAGGCTTTCTCCATAATCCCTATTAGCATTTTTATGAAAAGTTGTCAAGTCTGTCATTTGGAAACTTAGTGCAAAGACGATTCATATCAGCCTCTTGTTCGTCACAAGAGGCTGCTCATTGGCTCTTCTTGAGTTCAGCACGCATCCGATCAGATTGTGCGTTATCGGTTTCACTGCGTGGATCTCTTTGTTTTGATGGTTTGCAAGAAAATGTCATCACGTCTACGACCTTTTGAGATGAGTGGCGGTCCGTGTTTTCATCTTGTATAGTGTGTGTGGGGGGGTGGTGCAGTGAGGACACCAAGGTCATATTTGTTTACATTCTATTCAATTAGACTACTTTAAAGTCATTAAAAAAATTTAATTTGTAGCTTTTGAAAGAGCATTTTATATCTTCATGCCCGGAAATAAAACTTTTTAATCTGGTGCCACATTAATTAAAGAGAAAACAAAGACAACGTTTTAAAGTTATTTTAATTTGTATTTGTTGATTTTCCTAAAGACTTTCTTTGCTCCATTGAAATGAGACACAAACTTTAATTGCAGAGAAACAGTAAAGGATGTAGCAAATTAAATTAGTAACTCAATAAATGACATTTGACAGCTGTGTGTTGGGTCAACCTTAAAGGAATACTTCACCCACAAAATGACCATTTGTACATCAGTTACTCACTCAGTGTTCCCGTGAATTCCAGTTTTTAGGAATACTTCCAACAGTCTGAAGTATTCCTAAAATCCTTCCTTTGGCCCAGAATGTTAGACGTGTTTGCGGTTTCTGAGGAGCACATCTGGGCTCCTGATGAGTGTGTTTATGATGTGGTACAACCCTCCCGTCCACCAGTACGTGGCAAAACAAACCTCCTGTGGCAGAAATGGACAGAGCTGCAACAACATGCAAAATCATCTGTTTGACGTTGAATTGTGGAGAGAGAGATCGTTTCCTGACACATTTATACCTTTTTTTAGCAGTTTAAAGGTTCAACACAGGATTCCATTTGTTCTGCCAAATTGCATTGAAATATTTGCTTATTTGACCTTTAGCCCAGTGCAAATGTATTCCTGTGTTCTTCCTAAATCTCTTTGTGCTGTAAATTGAAGAACCCTTGTTTCTGTACCGTATAAAGCCACATTTAAATTCAGTCATTGCTATAACACACCACGTCCAGTCTGGTTTGTTTGTATGCACGGCTTTGAATAAATGGACACGTTCTTCCTCCTCAAAGTGCGTTAGATCCTGAGAGGCTGATAATCAGGACAGAGATGAGAGGCAGGCCTTATCTTGTTCTTGTCGAAAAACCCAGCCATATTTCATTATCGGCCGGTTTCATGCTCCTGGTTCTCCGGCCAATCTCCTCAATCTCCAGGGTCCCTGGTGCAGGGAAGCACTCATCCACGCGCAGAATGGCAGGGGTCAGGATGCCAGACGGAGAGCGGATCGGTGGGAAAGATACTGGACATATTTGTGCAATTTCCTCTGCCTGCTCCTTCTGCTCTACTTTATCACAGCAGCCCACTTTCTAAACCGCCAGCCTGAAGATGATTTTGTGACTATACGCCATTATCTCAAAACTCAGTGACATTTTAAAGCCGGTGTTCAAATTGAAGTGTTCAGACCTGCTTTCATAACATAATGTCACACTGTACTTCCAGCAGAAGGCACAATCCCTCACTGTCTTTCAAGTTCACCATGAAAGTGCTTCTTTTTTATTTTACTCACGCTGCACAGCCAAGCGGTCCTCTGAAGACAAACGACACCCGAGCACCGCCATAATAACAAGACTTCAGACGCCTCGCATGCACTTCCTCTTAACACCTGGACCACATGTGGAGCTGCCCTTTGTTGAAAGGCCCCGTAAAAGTCAATGGGACACCAACACGGCTCACGAACTGAGAGGAATCAACTAATGGCTGTCCAAATGCATGACATTTACCGAATGGCATAATTTAGCTCGTGAGAGGAAATATCGAAGCAGAGGAAGACGATCAAGGAGTCACCACAGAAGATGCAGGGGCCCTGAGAATCAGCTGCATAATCAAACCGCTTGTCAAAATGTGCAACATACACGTCAATCAAACTGATAATGCTATAGTGACAACACTATATTATTAGCCAGGAATTAATAGATTAAAACCCTTTACTCAATTTTCAACCCATTTAAAAGACATTTTATTACATCTTGACAAGTGATTATTACTTTATCCAGCAGCTATTACATTATCAGCTGCTGTAAAGCATATCCCAACACTTCCCATCTGGCCCGTTTTTTATCAATGCAGCTGTCACCTAGATGGCTTCTGTGTACCCCTCATCATAAGCCATTATCTGTTATTATTATCTATTTGAGATTGCACTAGAAACCCATATTCTGCTCCGTCCTTTGGCCTATTGGCTGCTGTCTCCGTCGGTCATTCCCCTCATAACCAAGAATCCATTTATTATCTCACACGCGGGAAATCTAATCTGAATGTAATTAGCCGTGCAGAAACGCACTTTGATTTTGACTTCAATATTCATGAGGCAGGCTGGAGAACAAACACAGAGTACCTCCAGCTGGCAGGTGAGGCAGGGGGTCCTGACTTTTCACTGCATTTAGAACAAACAAAACATTCTCTCCTCTAACTTCACCTGAACGTCTCACTTGTCAATGATGACAGTCTGCAAAGCTTTTGCATGTACATTTCCTGTCTACATTGTCTTTAACACATATTTCCATCTCTTATTTGTTCATATTAAAGTATGTATTTGTCCAGAAGTATGCACATTGATGCCTGAAGTATCAATACTTCTGACACCGCTTCTTGCTTTGAGTATTGAGAGTAATCAGACTCGCATTAGAAAAGGTTCTGAGCGCATAAACAAGTGCAATCACCTCGTAGATTTTGATAATCTACATAATAAACGTGTGTCATGTATCTGCAGGAGCTGTGTTGTGTTTTAAAACATGCATGTGATTAAGGACTTAGTTATATCTGCATTGATATTGTTTTAGATGACCCTGGTATCACTCACCCTCAAAGAGCTAAAAGAGTTTTCTTTAGTCATGAATGTAATTATTCTTGGCTTCAGTGGAGAGTTCTTGTGTCCTAGAATGGGCAGAATGACACTTCATCTTTACTAAAAATATTGTTATTGGTACTTTTGGAAGTGGGTGGATTATTTCAGTGCCCAGAGACAAACTGTGGACAATTTACACAATGTATTGTTTTTTTCCACCATCATCTCCAATCTCTCACCTCTAAAGGGAAATCAGATGCCACCTTGACACGCCGTCCTGTGGAGGCAATCAACGACAAAATCTACATGCAGAACCAACCGCAGCAGCACAACAGACCTGTTCAATTTGTTGTGTGCACACACACACACACACACACACACACACACACACACACTGCTTTACAGCAGAGGGAAGAGGATGACAGACTTGAGTGGCTTGCTTCTCCTTTGGGAATTAAGTCGTCTGTTCCGAAGATCTCTCTTTCCCCGGCCCCCCGGGGGTTGCCATGGTAACGGGATACGACGTGTGTGTGTGTGTGTAAGTGTAGGTGTGTGTGTGTGTGTGTGCGTGCGTGTGTGTGTGTATCCCAATCAATCTTTTCAAAAAAAATTGTGCGTCTGGTTGTCCAATCACATCCATCTAAAGAGACATGCATTGTGAGGACCCCCCCCCCCCCCCCCCCCCCCCCCCCCCCCCCCTACATTGCACACACACACACACTCACACACACACACAGGATTTATATAAAACCATCACACTGTGCACAAAATGCCATCGTATTGACTGGCAGAATGATGACTCTGACTTACTATAAATGTGGTGACAAAGTGCCGCTCTCCATTGGCCACCCACGGACTCTTAATGGCTGCTGGAAACATTATCGATGCTTTATCTGTTTTTTAATGTGCTGGGCGTCATTTATTCAGACTGCTCGATGATAAACAAGCGTTTGTGCTACGGAAACTCCCCCCCCCCCCCTTAAGCCATGCCTCACTTCCTGCTCTCCTCCAGTGGGTGGCAGTGTTCCCAGCCTGGAGCCCGTCACTGTGATAGCCCATCATGGCTCCCATGTGCTTTTTTACAGATCTCCTGGTGGAACACCCTCATAATATGTAAGTAGAAGTTTCTATGGGTCTCCAGCTGCAAATCCTCCCGATGCAACGTGTTAGTTCATATTCCAGCTGTGGCTTCTTCAGTGGAGCTTCTTCTTCGTCAG